ATTATAAAAAAAAGGTTACCTTCTCTAATCTTCTTTGTGGCTATTCAATTTGTATGGAATGGGCATTGATAAGGGAAAATGAGTTTTCTTCTATAATTAATGTACTAATTAATTTTATTTGTTTTTGTAGCATCCTCACTTTTTGTCATGCATCGTCCCAGTTACTCTGTTGGTCAAGGTTGTCATTGTAACTTGTGGATAGGAGACTATTGCGTAAGCAAATCTTTATGTAATCTGAAGCATATCATCCAGAGGTGAATTCTTTCTAGACGCTTTTTAAATTTTAATTGTTGTTTGATGTAATATAGTAAATTTTTCTGCATGATTTTAAATTATTGTTTGATGTAAAAGGAAACAACAAAAAATTATCTTGTCTAGGAATTTGAGGTGGCAACTTTTGTGTAAAGAGATATTGCAATTTAAATGTATAATCAGTAACATGCAATTCATTTGTGTGTGTTTTATTGTGAAATGGCTACTTTTTCCTTTCATCTATTTTAGTTTTGTTTTCATCCCACACCACCCTATTCTCCAATTTTGTTTTCTTCCTTTTCTCTACTATAAACCTCCTTTCATTATTTGACAAAACAATTTGAAGGTCGAAATCTCATTCATTTAGCCTCTTAGCAAGTAGCATGTTTATATTAAAATTAGATGTGTATTTATTATTTCTAAATATTGGATCCACTTCGATCAAAACATGAATTGACAATAGTGAACAAAGGAATCGTGATGATGAAATCCTATTTTAATTTTCAAAAATATGATCACATCACATATAATTTCTTGCTACTACTGAAAAATTATGGAGCTGATTTTATCAATACTTTAATATATTTTCTTTTTCACTTGAATTGATTATTTCTTATTGTTCTACAATTTATGCATAATTATATTGTTATATGTCATTTCTTTTGTTAAAACATTAAGCTACATGTAACTGGGGTGGGGTGGGGGGGGGGGGATAATATTTATTGTATACATAAGAGTGGTGAAGGTAGTTTGCTATGCCAAAGGTCGCCTACTAATATTTTCAAGATTTGCAAAGAGAGATCATAAAGTAATTCTTTTATGTTTCTGTATAATGAGTTACAGCCGTATTTCCTCATCTTTTAAATTGCGTATTTTAAATTGAGATTAGATATACATAGCATTTAGTTTGTGACAATTATAGCTTATAAAAAATATATTGAATATATTGTTGTTGTCACAAGGAGATACTTAGGCAAATACTTAGTATTAAAGCAGTTTATATTTTGATGCAATATATTGACGATATTACAAGAACAACTCATTTTGTATGCTGACGATTTTTTTTTCTATTATTTGTTAATTCAAGTAAAATTTTGACTTTTCATAAGTAAAAGAACATGTATATCGATGTTTTTCTTTTAACATTTTTGTTATAGACTCACAGTGTTGACGTGTTTATGTCTTTCTACTTTCACTAAAAGTATTTGCGGTGTTTTGATTTTTTTACTCTTAATTTAATTACTTTGAATATTTAAGATTTGTAAAATACATATAGATTAAATTTATAAATATTTCGTTTGTTTTATCTAATGAAAGAAAAAAAATTAAAATACCTTAAATTTCATAAAATATTTTTTTGATTACTTCCAAATTTGAATCTCAACAAAAATTAAATCTTAAATTTAATAAGATTTTTGTGACCGCGCAAAGCGCGGACAAGTTCACTAGTGACTAAAAAGGATAACAAAAAACTGAATTAATGATACAACATAATAAGTTTATTTGATACAACAACACCACTACACCTTATGCTTGCTCTTTCTTTTCCTAAACAGAGAAGAAGAGATACAGACCACCAAGAAGAGAGAGACATACTATTTAAGTTGAAGCCAAAGTATTGCTACGTGTCTACTCCAAAGTAGATATAAGACACGTATGTAGCCTGTAATTACAGATCAGTTTGATAGGACAAATGACCATAATATCCATATTTTAGAATTAATTGCTATAGAATAAATGACCATAATATCCCATATTTTAGAATTAATTGACCAAGAAGTACACATTGAAAAACTTGAAACTGTCTCTTCTATATAAGAGATATATGGCACACTTTGAGGCAAGTTTTTTTTTTTTCCTGATATTTGTTTGCTTTTTTGTGGTTTCTTTATATCTTTGCTTGAAATCAAATAAAATACAAAAAAAAATTTATTTCCAAGTGTGTGGTGATTATGGTGTTAAATGGGTGTGTACCGGTAATCGAAAAATGTTTTAATAATATTGATGTGTATAATATATCTACATTATTATGCACAATTATATATCATATACACATGATTATAAATTATTTATACAATATACACATTACTTATACATTATATAACAATGTATAAATATTGTATAACAGTGTACATAAATATATATACATTTCTTATTCACATTTATACATCATATATAAATTGAATTATACTATTTATACAATATGAATACATTAAATATACGTTATATAACAATATATAAATATTTTATAACAATGTCTATATATATATATATGTTATATAGTGTTATATAATATTTTTATATTGTACAATGATGCTTGTAGTTTAATGATAATGATAATGGGTCTTTGTAACGACTTGTTCCCGTCGTTATAGAAAAGCCAATGGGGAAAGAATTGGGGTAGAAAACTTTTGAGTAATAACTTTGGATTTCCTAGCCTAGTCCATATTTGGACGAAATCAGAGTCATCAAGGTGTAGGGAAATTTGGTAACAATTGGGTAACTTGTTTATGATTTTGATTACATGAGTGGTTAGATAAGTCGTTAAGGAATCTGTACGACTTTACGGAATTGAATTTGGGTGAGTAGAACTCCCGAAATCGATCTTAGCGTGAACGGTATTTTCTGAGAATCGTTGGTTAAATGTGGGTTGTTAAATAGGGGCCTTGGAATTATTAAAATAGCTCACTGGTTCCGTGCAAGCCGCTGGGGCGGGATTTCTGCTGCCAGGGCGGGGATGTTGTAGCGAGGTGAGGACCGTTGTGGCGGGTTTGACGCGACTTAAGGTCGTAAATAAACTCCAAAACGTCTTTATTCTGCACTTTTCAATTTTTAGAGCTAAGGAACGAACCCCAGGC